CAGAATCGTATTAATTTAGCTCTCGAAGGGCCTAGAGTCTTCTACATTGGCTTTCATTAAAGGTCTTGAATAGCACTAAAACTGACTTGTTGTTTGAGGGATATAAAATTGTGGTAAGGATGCACAGCTGCATGCAAATCATAAAAAATGCAATATATAATGCATTTTTTAAATTGAGGGGTTGAAATTTTTTTTCGCTTTTTTAACAGTGGAATCGTGGTTCTCGTCTTAAAATCTATAATATTAATAATAATATAATAGATTGGCGCTTACACATATGTTAGTGTTTGGCCGAGCTTCTCCTCCTCCTCTCCTCTATAATGTTAGTATAATCAAAAATAAAAAAAAATATTTTTTTTAATAAATACGTTGGATTTGGCATGTTTTTTTTTCGAAGAACACTATTTTTGACCACTTTTTTTAAGGCCAAGGAGTGATTATGGTTCAATGGCAATATTTTACTTGAAAGACAATTACATTAGCTTTCAAAGCCATTTTGTTTCATATCAAATTATTGGTTCTGTCGAAAGCCCTACGAATAATTGGCATGAAGTGCTAAGAAAGCACACTCTGCGCCGTCGAATATCTTATTTTTCTGGCGAGAAATGTAAATGAAATTGTAAAATTACTACAATTTTTCTCAAAAACATATGATTTATAAAAATATAATTAATTTATACACAATACATAATATAATAAAATAAAATGTCTATCATACTTAGGCGTACAAAATTGTTAATTCTCTCTGAAGTTCATACAGCTCATCGATCCATCGCCTGCTGTACTCGCCGTCGCCGACGCATAAAGGCCCGTAAATCTTCCGCAAAATCTCTCTCTCGAATACTCCAAGAGCCGCCTTCCTACACACTCGATATTAATTGCACTTGATGATTTTTTTTTAGTGTTCTACAAAATTTTATGCTTAGGTTTATATGGTATTTGCTAGGGAATTTACTGTATTCAAAATCCGAACAAATTACTCAAAATTTTCTTATTACAGATATGAGTATTGTGTACTACATACTATTTACAGGTACTTAGAATAAAAATTAATTACATTCTCCAATTCAACAAATAACAACAACAAAAAATATATCTTTATTTTTTTTTATCAAAAAATATTTAGAGGGCGCTCAAAGCGTCCAAAGTTTTCCATGTATTTTATATATTGTATTATGTATTTTATATGGAGAAAAATCAACTTTTCGCAGAAATGGTATAGAATTCTTAAAAATCAATATTTTTCTATCGGAAAACTCTGCTTATCTGCAGAAGATTCCCAGTAATAATACCCAATTGTTTATTTAACTATTTTTTCATGGCAACCATAATTTATAGATCCGCCAAAAACCCACAAAATGCAAAAGGGGGACCAATCAAAAATCGTTAGTATTAAAAAATGATTAAATAAATAAATAATTGGGTATTAGTAAGTCTGCTGAAGAGAACCAGAGTGTCCTGGTCGAAAAATATTGATTTTCAATAATTCTATACCATTTCTACGTAAAGTTGTTTTATTCCCATATAAAAATACATGGAAAAGGGCTATATTAGTAGTGCAGATATAATTTGTATTAATTCGGAAACTTATATGAACCTGAAGAATCTTTTAATTTAAAAACTTTTTCCTATAATTTTTTGGATCTAATGAAGAATCAATATGAATGTGATGTTATGATGAAACAGTGCGTGTTCTCTCGATTCGTTATCAAGAATTTGCAAGTTAATAACTAGTTCTAAATATAAAGATGGAATGAAAAAAAATTATCGATAACATTTTGAATATTTAGCAGCAAATGCAGATATGCTTAAGAGCAAAAATCACCACACAAGCTGCTTGATAAACCAAGCGAAATATGCCTTTGCCTAAAGTTATTTATGTTGTGTAAGGGGGTGTTTGAAGGTTTGATAACCAGTTTGAAATGTGAAAAAAATCAAGATATTTTGATTTTCTGGCCGCCATGTTGACGTTTGATCAAACTGCTTACGTTGTGTATGGTAAAATCGCGTCATTTGCAACGGAATTTTCACCGAATGAGGACGCAAGAGAGATAAATCGAAGGAAACCAAACTCCTTTACATTGTCAACCGGAAGAAAACGAAATTTATTGCTTGAACGAGTCATGTTTGTATGGTGTATGGCGAAATGGGAAATGTAGGTTTGAAGAATGTTTGACAAGCCGCTTGTGTGGTGTATTTCGATCTTTATAAAATTTCGGAAGGCTTTTTGTTCAATAATTTGCAGAGCGTTTTAACGACTCTGTTGTGTAAAACATGGTTGCATTTGATGTAATGTGGATTGATTTCCCGTCATCCCTTGTCAAATTTGGTTTGGAGACAAACCGGCTTCGGAGTTGTGCCACCTTCAGTGTCATTTTTCGTTCTGAATATTTTCTGTTTGTCCGTCACTATTTATAGCCGTGCTTGATTCGTAGTTAGGTGCGTCCCAGCGGATTATATTCTTTCGTTCAACCAGTGGTTTTTGTTTTGTGCATACATCCTCAGGTAGAAATCAGCTACTCAATTCTTCTTGATTAATTGGTGCATGGATTCGCAGGTAGGTAAAAATCAGTTATTTTCTTTCTCTTTGTTTCTGTAGTTTGGACTTGCGTTTCATTGTTTATGGGCTTCGCAGAGTTTCTGTCCTGAGTGTTTCGAATATGACATCAGATGCGGTGTTTATTTGTTCATTTATTATTTTTCCGACGAACGTCTTTTGGTTGTATATCTCCATATTCTCTAATACCTTTAGGCCTTGTCCTTTGTACTGTACATGGAGAACTTTGGCTGTTTTTCCTATTTTCATTGGCTTATAAAGGTTTTCTGCCATATGGTTGGCGAAGTTCGATTCCGGTGTGGTAGATGGTTTTAGCATTTTTTTGTTGTAGTCCCTTATATGTTCACGATATCTTGTTTTTATCTTGCGCCCCGTTCGTCCTATGTAACTATGTTGACATTCGCAAGTCAACTTATATACACCTTGCTTGTCTAGTGTGTCTTCCTCGTTTGTGCTATTTCGAAGTATCCTCCCCACGTTGCCCTTCATTCTAAATGCTGTATTGATGTTATACTTTTGGAATACTTTAGCCACGGGGTGACGGAAAATCGTTCCACATTACAGAGAGAATGAGAATGGTTCCATTTGTTATCTGAAAATATATCGGGAGAAAATTCCTCAAAATAAAAATACTCAAGCGCACCCAAAACTCCTCACGATTTGAGGAATTACTCACAAAGTGGTCACATTGAATTAAACATAAGTGACAAACGATATAATTTTGAATTTGGTCCAAAATGATATGTCCAGCAGTGTATGTATGCATGTATAAATTTGTGTAATCAATGCCTTTTTAAAGAATTGATTTCTTGTAAAAATTACATAACATTACTTTGTCTATTTTACAATTTTTTCTTTATGTGTTTATCAGCCGGGCTCCCATTTTCATTTACTTTTGCGTTTTCGTAAAAATCGTACATTTTTATTTTTGGGTGCTCTGGAATTCGCAACTTTTTGTTATCGATAAGTTCCATTTTCCACATCGTTTCCAGCATTCTTAAAAGCCATCCCTTGAAGGTATGCAACAATTATCGCACATGTATCGTCCGCACCAAATCCTAAATCTTCGTTGCTTCGATAAATTTTCGTTGCCCAAAATGGAGAAGTGTATAATAAATAGTGAATTAAACAAATAAAATCAACATAAAAAGTTAATTTTAGGACGCCAAAAATATCGCAAGATATAATGGGCATAATCAAAAATAAATTTAAACTAAGCTAGCTTGTTATTTATGTTAATTTTGCCATTTACTTTTCATTCCACCGTCTCATCGGCAACCGATTTGAAACCGCAAAAATTTTCCGATTTGCGAATATTGGAGCACGTAATTTTGCGATTTGAAAACTAAAACGCAAAATTTTTGCGAATTCGGAAACGGGAGCCCGGCTCTATGTGTTTAAGTAATGCTACGATCCTGGTTTTAAACTACGTATCCTCCATTAAATGTTCATGTTTTATTCAAGGATTTATTTAAGTAAGTTAACAAGAAGATGTAACTTACATATATAATTATGTTCGCTTAAGTACCTGTATCGAGGTACTTAAACGGGTTCTTTTAAGTACCCATCTCGCCTAAGTAAATCAAAGGCTGATATTTTTCGGGTTTTACTGTATGGGGATTTTAGCTACAATAGGTGTGTATAGTAGCTTCTCCATTCAAAAATTGCAGCGAGAGCGTAAACGCAAAATAGAACGTGAAATTGAGAAAAAGTGAAAACTAATAGAAAAAGTAATTGAACACAAACCTAGTAAAAACTTGCAAGTGAATAGTTGTTGCACTGTTTTGACATTCTGCTGTAAGCATTTTACTATTTATAAATCAGTTTTAAACTCTTTCCCTACAAGAACACTGAAAGTCATTTGAATAATCATGTGTAACTCAATGGTGATGGAAATGTCCATCAAACACTCCCATCACGTTTTTAAGGCCAATGTGCAAAAAATGATGAAAACAAATGCATGCATGTGATTTTTTTATCTTCTTTCAAATTATGGCCTTATTTAATGGTCTCTATTTAACCAACGCAAAATTTGCAAATGTGAGATAAATGAGAATGTGTTAGTTTTCATACCCAATTCTTGCAGGGTTGCCTTACACACAATCACTTACACAGTCCAGTACATCATTAATATTTTGATTTCGATTCATTTTACGTTTGTTTATGCTTAACCAATTCAACAAATGGCGGCTTTCGAAATTTATTCTTCTTCTGCTAGTAAAAATTTCACCATCAAGAATTTCTCGATTCAGTGCTCTCTTGCAAATTTTTTGGGTTAAGGCACACTTTTCCAGTAAAAATTTGCAGGTTCCAGAAAAAATTAGTACTGACTATTTTTTACTATACACACCTAATATTTTACCAGGTGATGCGTTGTGGGCTGTACAACAAAGGCGTCGATATAGTAAATATAAGTAAATAAGCGTTTAGATTATTAACTTACATGGGCGACATTTATAAGCCACCTCGACAATTTTGCGGCGTTTGTGACAGGGATCCACGTTTATGGTGCTAGCCGTGCTGCTATTGCTAGGGCCCCCACTTGTACTTAGTTTATAGTAATGAGGTACACCATTGAATTTACAATGCTTCTTTTTTTGGCATGCTTCAACAACCGTCTGTAGCAGCGAATACTGCAAAAATACAAAAATAAATTAACTGTAAATGTATGCTAGCGGCCAAAGACGCGAATAATAAATGAAACCAACAAAAATAAGAGAGTAAATATACTTCAATAAATCAAGTATGTGTGTTCATATCGTTGCCATAATATAGAAAGCCCCTATATAACATTTTTGTATCTTGACGGAGTGATTTAAAAACTTAACAGGAAATAAAGTTCTCTAACCTACTATAACTAGGGATGAAACGATATTAGTAAATACTAGTACATACCCGATACTTTTCGTTTGATACCAAGTAAAAAGGTATCGAAAAAAAGTACTCGTATCGAAACCCGATACCAAGCTAAATTTTCCTCCAATATTTTTTCTCCTACGTTTATGCCTAATATGAATCGCCCTGTGCTGTGTGTGCCGCGAGAAGACGCCAAAGTCGACATAACGCAAAGTATACACGATCCAATTGCTTCATCAATGTCGAGGGTTTGCAATGTTTACACGGCCAATTGTTCGAGAGGAAGTGTGAAGTGGATGAATGTTCAGTACAGACGTTTTGACGCAATGTAAAAGCCACTGACATGGGCGTAGCCAGGTAGGGGCAGGGGGGGGCTCGAGCCCCCCCCCCCCTAAATTTCATTCTGGCTACGCCGATGGCCACTGAGTAACTCTATTAACATTAACATAACATTAGCGGGCAATAATAAAGGTAGGGGCAAATAGCTATGTTATTGAACAAAAGAAATAAAGAGAAAGAGTTGATTCAAAGCCCAAACGCTATCTTCGAATCTAGTATGTAAAAAATATACATATGTATATATAATAGAGCGGTTCAAAAAACACGTTTTTTGGAAATTCATAAACGCTACATCAAAACATTGTTATTTGTGAAAAAAATGGGACACGTATTCTTTTATTTGAAAAAAAAAAAACAATTTTTTTTTTTTTTGGGAGCTAGTCGGGGTTTTATAACAACGCTGATGTTTTCAATTGTTTTTATTTTCGTGGAATGGTATACGGGAGTTAAAAATGCTGTTTTTACGTGTAATTACTCAGGTATTATTGGGGAATATTCCTTTAATAACGTACATGTTTTGGACATTTAGAATGGGCGTAGTGCCCGAAAAATGCTTTCCAAAAGAGACTGCTAAAATTAAATTGATGATACTGAACGTTTTAAGCATTGTCATGGGTTTAAACTCGTTACCAGGGGGTTTCTGGGGTCGCTGATTACGTATCTGATGCCAGTTTTTCAAAACTCAAAATGGCGATACCAATATGGCGATCAATTAAAAAAAAAGAGTGGATTTGTTCGAAACTTGGTATTTGGTAGTTCTTGGGTCGCTGATTACAAATCTAAAGTAAATTTTTTTAAATTCAAAACGGCGGTCCCAATATGGCGATCAATTTCACTAAAATTCAAACGTTGAAACTGGACGTTTTCAGCAGTATCATGGGTTAAAACTCATTACCAGGGGTTTCTGGGGTCGGTGATTACGATTCTGATGCCAGTTTTTCAAAATGGCGGATCCAATATGGCGATCACTGGTATGAAGTTTCAACCCATGACTATGCTTTCAGTATACACGTTTTAATTTTAGTAAATTTTTAAGAATTTGATAGTAAAATTGGATCCGCCCTTTTGAATTTTAAAAATAGACTTCAAATTCGTAATCAGCGACCCCGAAAATTCCCGAGTTGCGAGTTTCGAACCAATCCAGAAATTTTTGTCAAATTGATCGCAATTTTGGTCCGCCATTATGAATTATGAAAAACTGACATCAGATGCGTAATTAGCGACCCCAGGAATCACCTGGTAATGAGTTTGAACCCATGGCAATGCTTAAAACGTTCAGTATCAACGTTTTAGTATAGCAGTCACTTTTCGAAAGCATATTTCCGGGCACTAGGCTCATTCTAACTTTCCAAGGCGTGTATGGAATTTAGGGAATATTCCGCAATAATACCTATGTAATTACATGTAAAAACAACATTTTTAGCTGAACATGTTACGAAAATATAAAAATTGAAAACACCAGCGGTTTTATAAACGCAGACAGGCAGAGATTTGGAAAAACTTCTATTCTTGGAAGGTAGGTACAACAAAAGAAGAATTTTGTCGCTGAAATATTTTATTAATAAACGTTTTCTTAAATAAGATAATAAATGAAGGAAAACATAATGGAAAGGAACTAAAAAAAACTCCTTCATCATGTGCTTGTTTATAGTAAAATTGGTTGATTTTACATATTTTGAGGAAAATTATGGATTCTGATGCATTTGCAATTACAGCAGCGGAGTAAGAGCGCACCATGGCAAGGGATTCACAAAGGCATGCGGAGCTGTCGGGCATAGTAACCATGGACGCATCTATATATCGTCGGTCCCTACGAAGAGTAGCACATTTCACTATTCGCTTGGAAGACTAGCACATTTCACTATTAGCGTGGAAGACTAGCACATTTCATTATTCGCGTCGAAAAGTAGCACATTTCAGATTTTCGCGTCGAAGGCTAGCACATTTCACTATTCGCGTGGAAGAATAGCACATTTCAGACTTTTGCGTGGAAGAGTAGCACATTTCAGATTTTTGCTTGGAAGAATAGCACATTTCACTGTTTGCGTGGAAGACTAGCACATTTCAGATTTTTGCGTGGAAGACTAGCACATTTCAGATTTTCGCGTGGAATACATAGTAGCACATTTCACTATTTGCGTGGAAGAGTAGCACATTTAGGGTTTAAACTAAATCAGAAAAGCATAGTTTATATTGGAAATTCAAGTGCTTATTTTTAATTCTATAATTCTATTATAAAACTCATGAAATTCAGACGGTATATAGCGTTTAGTGACCATTTTCTGGAGATCATCCACTTTTCTTTTTTTAAAGGCATTTTTCCCCCTTTAAGCTTTATGCTATTCATATGGTTTTATGGTTAACCATTGAAATTTTGTTTTCAGTATGTTCAATTTCAACTAAAATAAAGTTCATTAAAAAAACCACGTAAACCCACGCTTAAAATTTTGTAGAAATCTAAAAAAAAATCAACTAATTTTCATTCAAATTTCAAATTTATTTACTCAGAAGTAGGGATGTGCCGGATATAGATTTTGGCGGATAACCGGATTCCGGATATCCTGTAAAAAAATAACAGCCGGATTCGGATATCCGATCGCACACATCTTTGCGATGCTATCGCAGTGAAAAATGGCATCTTATAAACAAACAAAAAACAATCTTAATCAAATTCTTTGCTTTTGAACAATCAAGATGTTTTGTTTTCTTACGTTAATTTTTGTTTAAATTATACAGAACCCGCCTATTAACCTTTTTCGTTTCCGAACGCGTAGGTCTGCAATTTCCAATAAATAGTTCTGGCATTGTTGTAATCTTTTCGGAACAGATTCCCACCGTCAGAATCGCACATGTGTGTTGATGCCTTATATGGACCTTACATGGTCACATTGCTTGATCAAACTGTCTTCTGTGTAATTAGATGGTTTAACTTACACGCTTCAAAAAACCCATCAAATTTCAGTTTTTCGTTTTGGATGAAGTTGAAGAGAAGCTTAAGAAAGCTTTGTATTCATTTGTTAATACTAATACTAAGTCGTATACTTTTTCCTTGTTCAATTATGTGTTTTTATTTAAATTATTGTGCACAGATATGTCTGTGTAATTAGATGGTTTGACTTACACACGTCAAAAAACCCATAAAATTTCAGTTTTTGTTGAAGTTGTATCACCACAAAAAAGGTTTTGGAGATTTTTGAAGTAATTTATTAGTTCTAAAATGAAGTCGAATTATTATTTTTTCTTGCTCACTTCTTCTTTTTATTTAAATTATCGGGCACTTGTTCTTTCACTTTGTTTATCATTTTGATCAAACAGCACTTTACACGGTCCACAGCACATGTCAAACGACTATCAAATTTGATGAAAGTCAAAACTACTAAGGGTATTCATCAAAGCTTATAAATGCAATGTAAACCGTAAACTTATAATTGTGTAAACTTTATAAATGAACTGTCAAAATTTGTATGGAAACTCGTTTACACATTTCTGTAATGCAACTCTGTCGCAAAAGGTATGAAATTGAGATTCACTTATCAAAAGTATTTATAGAACTATTAATAAAAAAATTTACTTGATTATAGGACTAAACATTCAACAACGACAATGCTTCACTATTGCAACATTTTGTGACCCACGTTTCAAAACTCGTTTTTTTTCTGACGCCAATAAAGCTAAAAACTGGGTTGTTGATGAACTAATTCGAAATTATAAATCAGTTAGCATGGAGAAACCAGTTGAATCACATATATGTAATACTCCTATATTGGCAGTAAGAGCTAGTACCGTCCGAAAACACTACAGTACAGATATATCAATAAACACGTACGACAGAAAAGGAACACATACGTTTATAAATAAACATGTACACGACACATTTACAAAACCGGCACTCAAGTACACAATACATTGACAAAAACAGTACTAGACTGTCTCGCTTTGATTTCGGAATGCTTACACATTGAGATGTTAGCTTACTACCAATATAGAAGTATTACATATATCGTCGGTCCCTACGAAGAGTAGCACATTTCACTATTCGCGTGGAAGACTAGCACATTTCACTATTAGCGTGGAAGACTAGCACATTTCATTATTCGCGCCGAAAAGTAGCACATTTCAGATTTTTGCGTGGAAGAGTAGCACATTTCGTTATTTGCGTGGAAGACTAGTACATTTCAGATTTTTGCGTGGAAGACTAGCACATTTCAGATTTTTGCGTGGAAGAGTAGCACATTTCGTTATTTGCGTGGAAGACTAGCACATTTCAGATT